AATAATATTCAAAGAGAAAATTACTAATAATTTTCCATAATTGAAAAGAGATATACATCTTCAGATTCAAAAGCATACCAAGTATCTGGGGAAAATTCTATACCTAATTATATTACAACAGAACTATATAATAAAAGAAAATGAAAACATTCTCTAGGCAATGAGAGAAATAAGAGACTAACTAAAAAGAAATGAGAACAATCTACCTTACTAAAACGTCTCAGCAGTAACAACACGGGGCCAGAAAATGCTCTCAAAATGCTATGGGAGAAACAATTATCAATTTAGAATTTGATATCCTATTAAATAACTATTCTAAAGTGAGAGTGGGAAAAAAAGACATTTTCAGGCAAAGACAAAAAATTTACCACTCCCAGTCACTCCCTGAAAGAACTTTTATCAAAAAATATATTTCTAAGGAAGAAGAAAAAAGGACAGGATGAAGAAAATACAATGAACAAAGAAACACTTAAGTATTTCTCAACAATGATGGAATAAAACAATAAAAAATGATTTTTGCAGGGTATTCAAAAGAAAATACTAGACAACATTAATATAGAAGATGGGGAGGGGAGTGTCTAAATTAAAGCATCTGAAGAACCTTAGGAGAATGATAGAGAAGCTGAGAAGTGGTGTAGGAAATAGACAAAATAATATGCCAGAGATAAATCCAAATGGATCAGCAAGCAGATTAAATGTAACTGGATTAAGTTGACCACAGCTGGCAACAGAGATCCTCAAAGAGAATGCAATAGAGTAACAGTTACTGCTATTTCTTATACAGACATATTCTAGAGCCTGATGTTGGAAAAAACTTTAAGTAAAAGAGAAGAGATTATATTGGCAAATATTAATGAAAAGAAAGCTCTTTTAGCAATTTAAATATCAGATAATACAAACTTGAAGGCAAAAAGTACTGTTAGCTGCAAAGCAGTCTCTGCAAAATCATAAAAGAATAATCTTCTAAAAAGATACAGTGAACTTGTATTTACCATGTAACTTGGTTCAAACTATATAAAACAGAAATGAGCAGAATCACAAGAATAAACTGATAAATATGAGAGCTCTTAACACATCTTCTGTAACTGATAGAAAAGTAGACAAAAATGTTGGTATATATAAGATTTTTCATAACTAATACATGATTTAACAATGTAGTACCCTATAACTAACAACTAAGAAAAGAGTTTTCAGATATGTGTGCAAAATTTTAAATCAATCAAATAAATGCTAGGTTATGAACCAAGTCCTAGGAGATACCAAAGAATAAATGTTATACAGATACAAATCTCTAACCACAACACAATTAGAAATTGATAAGTAAAGGTATTTTTAAAAAACTAAGGACCAAATAAACAACAAAACAAATACACTACATTTGGAAACTAAAACATATACTCCCAGGTAATTAATATCTCAAGGAAGAGACATGTTAAAAAGTTGGAAACACTTTTAAAACTAGATGACAATCAAACTACACATATCAAAACCTGTAGGTTCAGTTAAAGTGGTTCTCAGAGGGAAATCCATTGCCATAATACCACATATTAGCAAAATGGGAGGACTGAAAATTCATAAACCATATTGAAAACAATTTGGCAACAACTCTTAAGAAATGCCTTCCCAACAACTGAGAGACTTCTAGGTGTCCACCCAGAGAAACTCTCCAAGTCAGGAAGAAGGAGACAAGAGAAAAGGATACTCACTGCAGTGTTGTTTGCAAGAGCGAAAGAGCAGAAAGAACCTATCTTGGCAGAAAAATGGATAAACTGTAGTTTACTATTGTGTGTGTGTTCAGTCATTAAAGCGTGTCTGACTCTTTTCAAACCCACGGACTGCAGCATGCCAGACTTCTCTGTCCTTCACTGTTTCCTGAAGTTTGCTCAAACTCATGTCCACTGAGTTGGCGATGCTATCTAACCATCTCATCCTCTGCCCCCCTCTTCTTTTTTGGCCTTCAATCTTTCCCAGCATCAGGGTCTTTTCCAATGAGCCAGCTCTTCGCATCAGCTGGCCAGAGTACTGGGGCTTCAGTTTCAGCATCAGCCCTTCCAGTGCATATTCAGGGTTACTTTCCTTTAGGATTGACTAGTTTGATCTCCTTGGAGTCCAAGTGACTCAAGAGTTTTCTCTAGCACCATAATTTGAAAGCATTAATTCAGCGCTCAGCCTTCTTTACAGTCCAACTCTCATTTCTGTATATGACCACTGGAAAAACCATAGCTTTGACTACACGGACCTTGTTGGCAAAGTGATGTCTCTGTTTTTTGATATGCTGTCTAAGTTTGTTATAGCTCTCCTTCCAAGGAAAAAGCATCTTTTAATTCTGTGACTATAGCCACCATCCACAGTGATTTTGGAGCCTAAGAAAATAAAATCTGTCACTGCTTCCACTTTTTCCCCTTCTATTTGCCATGAAGTGATGGGACTGGATGCCATGATCTTAGTTTATTATTATAATATATAAATAAATATACTGTGGTTAATTCATATTAAACCATTTTAGTGAATTTAATTAATCTGTATATAAACATGGGAATTCTCTGAAACATATTTGTGAGCAACAAGTTGTGAAATGATACCTACAGCTCGATAATATTTATGTACATTTTTAAACAACCAATTGCATCTACTGCTTACAGATATAGCTGCATGTAATGAAAGTACAACAGGCTTTGGAGACACACAACAATACAACAATTTTAGCAGGAAGGAGACGACATTTTCTTTCTCAGAGAAAAAGAAAGATGAATAAAGCAAAATGTTATCTTCGCAGTAAATAAATAATTTATTTTCAGCATTTTAAAGCATATCTGAAGAGCTTTATGGTAAGAAATTTTAAATAAATTGCTACTACAATTTCACTATAAATATTTAGTAGATACTGTAAAGGTCATAGGAAAACAACTATTACCTGTTCTCCTATCCACACAGAGCTAACCTTTGATAATATTTTCTTTTTTTATTTGTACATTTGTATTTATTATTTAAATATATACAATATTATTCTGGATATAGTTTTTAATCTTTTATTTGGCACTTAACATACCATAGGCAGGTTTCCTTGTCATTACTTCACACTTAGACAATTTACCACACATCCATGGTGCAGATTTAAAACTGCTTTAAAGGATATATAACGAAGATCCTTCATTCTACCCTAGACCCTAGTGCTGCTGCCAAGAGTTTATCTATCAGGTCTGGAAATTATGCTTCTGTCACTAAACAGAGTGGAGTGTTACTTTTTTGCCACCGGGTGGAGACAAAGCTCTCAAAGTGTAGTCTCTGGTATAACATTTTTCAGATATAACAAATTTCAGCATTTCTAAAACATCATACCATACTGAATTTAAAATCGGTTCTTGTACTTTCTTATTTTTAAAAGTTCAAATTTCTTTGTATATCACAATCACTAAGAAATTATTCACATTTAGTTGTGAGTTTTGTTTTAAATGCATATGTGGATATCTTGTCCCTATCAAAAAGTACTTTAAAAAAAAGGAAAGAAAAAAACTGGTTAATTTTAGGGAATACATATATATATACTTCTGATATTGAATAATGTTTCTAAGGAGAAACTGTAACTAAAAAGCTATCATTTTCAAACAAAACCATATACTTATGAATCAGTATTGCATATGGCAAGCTTAAAGGCAGCCTAACAGCACACGGTTCAGATAAACACAAGTTGTCAGCAGAGCTGGCCCACATCTAGATAAAACTTTGCAATCATCACTATTCTGCAGCATGGGGCAGGGGAAATGACTGAGGTCACACACCTGCAGTATGTAAATGCAGTGAATACTGCATACAATCTGCCCTCTCCCCTGTTCCTCTTGTAAGAGGTTAGTGTCTCCCCAGTCTGCTTGTATTATCTGTCTACGATTAAACTAGATAATTAAAATCACAGATATGAACACAAGCAAATAGGTCACTGACTAATTATTTGCAAATTAGGGCTTTATTTCATAAAATTGCTTTAAAATTAGAACACTTTCTAAAGCTTAACTATTAGGAAAGCTCTAACAACTAGACAGAAAAATTTAAACTGGAAAATGGTCATATATCATGATTTGTCTCAAATTTCTGTGTAAGTTTTCAACTGATCAATGATTGAACTTTGAGCGCCATTCTTTGGAATCTTGTTCAATATACACTATTTCAAAATGGTTACAAAGATTGGGAAAATGTATCAGACAAGAAATAATAAGGATAAATAGTTCTTTAAATAATTTCTAATCTAAGAAATATATATTTTAAATTTAATCCCTGTAATTTTTCAACAATTCCAAATATTAATAAATTCTGAAATATTAAAACTTTACCTTTCTACCAAAATGTACTCTTAACATTGTAAACATCTTCAAAGAATACAGCATAACAAAGCAATTATAATGAAAATTGTACATGTTAAAACCACCTCTGGGAGAAGCACCACTTTCTAGCAACAAAAAAATATATTTTATAAACATAAACACATTTAATTTTGTTTAAAGTTGAATGGATTTAGTGCTTTATGAGTTAAATTCAGCAGGATAATACTCTCAAATAAAAAGACAGAATTGGAAAAGCAAAACAAAATACTATGAAACTTGCCTATTGGGACAGCAACTCAATTTAAATTGATTGGCTCAAAGTCACAGAGTTGGTTAGCGAGCGGCAGAGCTAGGATTGGAACTTGGGTTTCTAAGGTCTTCCACTAATTTTTAGTTTCTACTATAGATAACGCTATCATATAAAAGGATGTTTTGCCTCAAAGTTCAGCATTTCATTCATACAATGACTTAGCATGTATGATATGCTATTACATATGCATACATACCTACGTGTACCACACATACCTTATATAGTATTCTAAAACAGTAAACATAATGAACAAAAAGAAAAAAAAATGAAGAATTTACTAAATTTTTATTACAGACTTCAAAGCAAATGATTCATAAAAGGTATGGTACAAAGTTAATTTTTAAATTGTATCAACTCTTTTTTGAACCACTTACCGGGAAACTGTGACACTATTGGGGGTGTATCTTCATCTAAGTCATCTACTCCTCCAGCGATGGGATAGGGTGGAATGGAGACTCTGGGCATCACCACCCAGCTGTGATCACAATAAAGCGAAGAGGTGAGGCTGGGGAGTCCCGAGTTATGGGCTATCTGAAAGCCACAGATCTTCTCTATCTGCTGCCAGCGAAAAAGTCGTTCTCGTAAACAGGTTGTCAACTCAGAAAGAGCTTTCCTGGAAAAGTCAATATAGGAATTACTTCCTCCATCAAAAAGTCTTTAATACAGCACTGAAAACAGGCAACTATATGAGCAGACCAAGGCAGTTAGCCAATTTCCAGGAGAAATTATCCCCTCTTAGAATGAGCATAAAGGATATAATAGTACATGATTAAATGATAAATTAAAACATAAACTGTCTGTAAATTACAAATTAAAATCAAAAATTGTCTATAATTAGAAATTAAAACAAATTGTCTATAAATTTTATTTCTACACAATAAAAATAGACAGATAACTGCAATAAGATTCTTACTTTGCTTCCAGAATTTTGTGGTCTACCTCATCTAAGGAGGAGCTATGTGCAACATGTAGAGTTCCAAAGACTGTGCTCCTCTTCTTTTTAATTTTCTCTGCCTAAATGCCCAGGGAGAGAAAAATAAGGCTTAGTTTGGGAAAAAATACACACACTAATAAGGTCTATTTTGTCTTGAATATATTAATAATTATAAAATCAATGGAAAATTATTAGCCAAGACATAGCCCTATTTTCTAAAAAAAGGAAAACAGATGAGGAGAAAGCATGCTTTCCTAAGCCAAACTTTGTTCTGGAGAATTTTTTCTCTTTATTTCCATGAATCAGAAAGACCTGAATCTTCTATTTAAAACTAGAAGAACATAAACTATATCCTACTGCAATGGAGGTGTTAGTGAATGCACTGTTTTTTATTGTTCTTTTTCACTAGAAATCAGAATAAGACTCAATACTTTCACACAATTATTAATAGTCAGACATTAATTTCTAGTAACTACTAACCTGAATCAGATATGAAGCAGCAACCTAGAGGAGAAAAGCTCTGTATAAAACATTTATGATCATGATAGTAGGGATGATTTTTAAATGATACTAAGGTCATTCTGAAAGGTTTACCCTTCTCTTAAAAAAGTAACTTTACAGCCTATGATTACAAGAGTCAATCTACCCACTAAGTTCCAATTCATGAAAGAATCTGTGATACTAAAAATTTTATTCAGGCCTTTGTACACCAACTGGTTAATCCCTTTAGAAATGTTAGTAAGTTCTGCAATATAGTCGAATACCTCATCCTTAGCAATAGCTAGCTGCATTTCAGCATTCTGTCTTTTTATATTGTAGTACTGGACTTCCACTTCATGTGTTAGCTGAAGCCATTTTTGAAGTGCATCTGGAACAGACCAGCTGCTTCTGAGTTCAAATTCTTTTTCCGCCTTTTTTAGAGCCATTCGAACCTGGAAGGGAGAGAGGAAAAAAAAAAAAAAGAAAAGGAGCAGAGGAGAGGGAGGTAGAAAGAGATGCAAAGGAAAGTGGCAGAGATTGGAGAGAGAAAGAGAAATTTCTCTTTTTTAAAAGTTTTTAAATTAAGTTTTTTAAAAAAAAGAAATTAAGATTTTTTGGTACCAGAATTAAAAGAAAAAAGCAATCTGAATTATACTCTTTGTAAAATCACAGTCTAAAATGATATTTCTAACATTAAAACAAAAGTTAAAGGTTTAAGTACATCTTAAACTCACTAAGCAAGGTTGTAAAAAGCCAGAGGGTGAGAGGGAGCTTATATCTCTCTTAGGTTGCAATACTGCATTTTCACATTTTATAATAGCCAGACTCAACTGAGAGACAAAAACCCAGGGCATGTACCAACTGAAATGGATTACATTTTTCTCATAATCTGTTTTTTTGTTTGTTTGTTTATGGACAGGATATGAAGAAGTATCCAAAACAGGGTGAATACTTGTTCTATTACCTCTTCTAATGTTCCCAGAAGACTCTGCTGGGAACTATACACTATACAGACTCTGCTGGGAACTATATACTATAACTATACATTCATTTTTTAAGTAATTACACCATTTCAAAAAAGGTTTTCAGACATCTTCTTTATGTCAGTTATTTCTCATTGTTATGAGCACATCTGCCTCTTATAGTCTGTTTTATATCACCTATATTTAATTTTTTCCTGCTTCTCACACATTAGAAAGTAGATAAATTAACACCTGCAGAACAAATGTAAATTTCAAGAAAACAGACTCTGAGTGAGAGTCTTCTTGATTTTTCCAAGGGAAACTATGAATAGCTTCAGTGTCAGAATGTCTAAGTTTTTCTTCTAGCCAGCTTTTAGGGGAGCCAGAAACAAACAGAAACCTAAACGCTTAGTGTATGAGTTTGTGAGGTGGTATTAAGCGCTAACAGGAAAACTCTTAAGGACAGTCTAAGAAAGTGACACAGAGGAAGAGACAACCCATTCTAGGAGTGATTCATTTAAAAACTAGCAAGAGCTCAAGCTAAGGATGTGTAAAGATACATGATGGAATTTATGAAATTATGCACATATATTCAAGACCTTCAAAGTGATGAGTGAACTATGGAGCACTGTGCTTCGGGAGCACCAAAACTGCAAATTAGTTTTTCCAAAGTTAACTAAAACTTCATTCTTAAACTAACGTGCAAAGGAATGTCTGATCTGATCAAATCTAATTTATTTAAATAAACCTTACGTGCCAGAGTAAACTAGAATACCAGACACAAATTTCTGATAATCTGAGAACAGCTGTCAGATACTACAAGAAAAAAAAAGTGTAGAAAAATATTTTTTAAAACTTTTTCAAGTTTTCTAAAAACTTTCTTAAACTCTAAAACCATCAGACAGGAAGTAAATAATTCAAAATATAGACATTAACAGGGCAGGTAAAACAACACTTACTTACTTAAGACAAATAGTAAGCAACACTTGCCTGACGTGATTAGTTATGCAATATGCTTGGGACAATACTGCGCTTAATAAGACAGCTGGCAGAGCCCTGCGGCGTCCCTGCTAATCTTTCAAGAAAGAAGCTGAGCTCAGGTCCTGTAACACGGAGTTCTATGCAACACTGCAAAGTGTAGGTCACATGCCCGTCTTCTAAAGCTAAAATTTCTGCAAGTTTTCATTGTCAGGTAAGTATACAGATAATCTGAACAAATTCACTCATGCTTTTCTCAGTAAGATTTTCCTTAATGTTGTGTCCATAAATGTATTTCCCCCAAAGAGCTCAATAAAGAGGGAAATAGATGCAGTGAAATTGAATAATTAATAGCTTTTAAAAATGATGAATTAAATTGTTTCAAAATACAACAATTACATAATTTTTGTGTCTTAGGAATAAAAAAAGTAATAACTAAAAACACGGTATCACACACACAAACAAATTAAGTGTCTGAAAACTTGGCTTCTGGACCTGACTTTATGATTTATACCTCTGTGAGCTTCAACAAGTTCTTTCCTTTCTGAGGCTTATTGTTTTGTGTATAGGGGTACTATGACTTTGTCCTGATTTTAAGTTTCTTGAGACTTTAAGAACAAAATAATTTATGTATTTAAACCACACAAAATATAGAGTGGTATTATTATTCATCCAAAAGCTCTTGTTTAATGGAAATTAACAAAATATGTACCGGTTTTTCTGCCTTCTAATTTTGAGGAGTTGATTACCCATCACATAAGACACAATAAAGCTTTAAACTATGTGGAATTATGGATTATGTGACATAATATATAAATTAATTTCCCAGTTAAACTTACTTCTATAAACAAAGCCTTTAACAGCAGTATGGGGAAACACGGACTTTGGAACAAGACACATGTAATCTTGCCTTTGCCGCATCATAGCTGTGTTACCTACGGCAAGTTCTTTAACCTCTACATACATATCTCATCTGGAGATGAGAAAGTATCTATGTACAGTAAGGATTAAAATTTATGAGCAAACAATTTGCAATGATGTACACAGCATAAGGTTTTGGCACACAGTAAACACTCACAAAATTGTGTTTCTTATTACTATAATCATATTGGACAGAGTTCTTTTTAAATACCCAATTCTCTCCTTTAAATTCCTGACTGAGGATCTCATTAGGATTATTAAGTTTGTGCTGGGTTGTAATATCCTGGTAATCTCGGGGTCTGCCATGCAGTGCAAGGCCTCTAGGCTCCAGACCCCAGACTAGAATACTTGTGATGTAGAGGTCCTTCTTTACATGTTGTCTTTTCCTCTCACTGAGAGGTAGTCTCCATTACAACATGCTATCAGTTTATGTCTCTATAGAAGATTTCCCTCTACTGCTTTCTGATTTGTCCTTTCTTATCTGCAAAGATCAGAAAAACAGTTAACAAGCTTTTTAGTTTAGTCCTGGGAACAAACCGAGACTTGAATTCTCGTTGAGAACAGGTATGGAGTTGTCACGGAAGTAAAGAACATACAATTAATTCTCAAACACAGGCTAATTTCGGCTAGGCCTTTTTTTGTGAATTCCTTGCTTCTTTATGACATTCTGTATAAAGAAGGTTCTGTCAGGTAAACAGGACCAGACTACAAAATAAGTTGAGGAGTCATTTTAGAGCACAAACTCTTGACAGGGAAAAGACTCAAAAGACAATGTCTAGGCTATGAGACAAAGAACAGTTAACGCTTAACACAACAGATAGCTGCATTCAGTCAGACAAGTCCTACCAAAAATGACAGTCCTGAAGGAACTAGTAACATACACTGGATATTTTCTGATGAGTTTAAGTTTAAACCGAAACTCATTTATTACTTAATTTTTATTTCATATTTAGCACTTGACTGAGAAGGCAACATGCATAAAGCAAAGTGGGAGGCAGAATACCTAAGTTCTTGGCCCTGTCTTACAAGTCACTCTCTAAACTTGAACACACTTTCTTGTCTTCATTTTGTTCCTCAGATTCTTTATCAGTAAAGAAAGGGTCAAAGTCAGAAGAAGGAGATGAGATTATGGAAGCGGAGGTTGGAGTGACAGGCTTTGCAGATGAAGGAAGGGGCCATGAGCCAAGAAATGCAGGCAGCCTCTGGAAGTTGGACAAGGCAAGGAAACAGATCCTTCCCAGAGCCTCCAGAAGGAATGCAGCCTTGTAGACCTATTTTAGACTCTGACTGCAAGAACCCTAAGATAATAATGACGTGTTGTTTTAAGCCACGAAGTTTGTGGTAATTTTTATAGCAGAATTAGAAAACTAATACATCTGCCTCTGAATGCATTCTCCTGCGACCTACCCACCTTCTCTGAAGGATGGTGCAATGTCTGAATTCCATCCTGAGTAAAATAGCAGAAGCAGATATTGGAAAGGACATCTTTTGAACAACTTCAAAATCTGTGCCACAGAATGTTCTAAAACCATTTAACAGGATTCAAATGGATGTTTAATGGAGATTATTAACATTGAGCAGAGAAGTTTAACATTATATATACTAATACCCCACAGACTGTAGCCTGCCAGGTTCCTCTGTCCATGGGATTTCCCAGGCAAGAAAACTGGAGCGGGTTGCCATTTCCTTCTCCAGAGGTCATAGTCAGAAACTGGGACATAGTACAGATGTTAAATAAACATCTTAGGTTTACTCAAGACAACATGCATGGGCTGGGCTTCATGAGTGAATGAACATGATGCTAACTTTATCTTTTAGTTGGTTGTTTGTTTTTTTTGCTGTATGAACTCTGCCCAATGCTAACAATATGGACAGGTGACCCTGTTACTAACCAAGGAAGAGTATGTGATGGAACAAAATGTAGGAGACTGAACAAATTCAAAGAAATTCCTCAGAGTAGCAATACAGACTTCCTCACAAACACTTCTTTAACACGTAAATACCTGTTCCAGTTCCTGCTCTGCATACTGACGTCTACTCAGTTCACATTCAGCCCCCTCCCTCAGCTCTCGCAGTCGACAAGCTTCTTCCTTTGCGTAATTGATTTCATCCATCATTTTGCGCTCCAGATTTTGCTTTTCTACGGCAACATTTCTGTTTTCTTCCTGTGCCTTTTCAAGCCTTACAGAATAAACATGAAAATTCCTCACAAAAGTTCCCAAAATTTCATTATTTTAGTGAAGAATAAATACATATCAAGCAATAATATACATGTTTTAATCAGAATTCAAAGCAATTTCTATTAATCTTAAATTTGGACAACAAAAACATCAGGTAACCTACTAGATAGCTATTTGGTTTATCTTGGGCTAAAAATACAGAAATAGCATGGAAACATTCTTCAGGAAAAAGACTTTTAAAAAGTTGATAATTATTTAAGACATGTTTAAAATAAAATTTAACTACACATGTAATTCTACTTACATTTGATTTCCACTTGTCTTCTACCCATTTATTCCCTAATGCATACCTTTTTAATAAATCTGTAATTATGACCTTTCTAAAAATGTGAAATGAAGTATACATACAATTTTTGATGTATGTATCAATCTAAATACAAATGCATAAGCACATGCCCATATTACATATTCACAAACTGTATGGTCCCACATAAACAAGATTTTAGCCTTTTTTACCTACTCACCTCTCTTGTAAGTCCATTAGACTTTGCTCTGCAGTTTGTAGACTCTCTAAGTCTTTCATCATTTTTGCAACATGCTCTTTTGATGTCTTATTCTGTGTATAAGCAAACCAACATCCTCCAACACCAATTACTATAGAAACTGTAAGGATAAAATCCTTCATCCAGTTATGAGGAGGTCCTATAAAGAGAATTACAGATGGCAAATTAATCTTTGAGTATCAAAAAGTCTCAATACACATGGCTGGTTAATTTAAAAAGTAGTAGATATCTAAAAACAAAACAAAATATGAAGATGTCCCTCCCATATATAAGCCCCAGCCTTTTACAAATTCTCTCCTCAAATAATCAACGAGTTTACGATCACTACCTGATATACTAGACCTACAGGAGACGGGGCTTCCCCCGTGGCTCGGTGGTAAAGAATCTGCTTGCAGTGCAGGAGACGCAGTTTCGTTCCCTGGGTCAGGAAGGTCCCCTGGAGGAGGAAATGGCAACCCACTCCAGTATTCTTGCATGGGAAATCCCATGGACAGAGGAGCCTGGCGGGCTATAGTCCGTGGGGTCACAAAAGAGCTGGAAATGACCGAGCAACTCAACAACAACAGTAACGGGGCAGAGGTAACCCCACATGGATGCACCATGCCCTCCTGGTACAGGAGTTAGTGACAAATCCTGGGGCATTCTGAAAAAGCAGAGTATCTCCAATCACACAGAGAATGGTCCTCTATGGGGTGAAAAGGGTCATAACGAGTATCACCATCACCAGCCCAACTCCCCTCCTTCAGACAAGTTAGGTAGCAGCCATGCTTTAATACAAAAACTGAAACCCTAATCATTCACCAGAAAACGTTCTTCCCAAGCATGCAGCCACGTAACTAGTTAGGATTAATTAGTGACTCTCAACTGAGAGTGACATTTCCCTCCAGCAGACATTTGACAAGTTTTGCTTGTCACAATTCGGGAAGTGGAAGTAGGGCTATTTGCTACTGGTATCTAGTAGGTAGAGGCCAGGGATGCTGCTAAACACCCAATAATGTACAAGATAATCTCTTTCCTGCTCCCACTCTGGTGATAACAAAGAATTATCTGGGAATTATACAGCCCAGAATGCAAATAGTGGCAAGGCTGAGAAACCATGGGTCAAATGATCATGACAAGCCATGTTTTAGGTGGCTTTTTGTCAGAGAGATCTGGGTGACTCATGGGAAACAGGTGCCAGGGAAAGAAGCAACCCCCACACTTACTTGTTTCTAAAGTAAGGAGTAAGGAGCCAGGGCCTATTGTCTTCAGTAATACAAAACACAGAAACCGCTAGTCAAATAATTTCCTAGTTTATCTCTGAATGCAGGGGCTCAATTGAGGGATGCAGGGTAATTAATAAAACATGATGTATTATTTCTTGCAAAGAGGCTATAGGTTTTCAGTGAAAAACTGCCTAGCTGCCCATACCTCTGGCAGCAAGGAGATATTTTCCATGTTTGACAAGATGAAGAGCTCCACAGAAATGAAAAGTTCCCATTCTTACAAGTCTAGGGTTTGTGTATGTTTACCTAGTGTGATAAACAGCATGCTCTATGCCAGAGACCCTCAGAACTACATATTTTCAGAGCAGATACCCTCACCTACAGTGAAAGAGATTCTCTCTTCACTCTTTGGCAGAAAGCTAAAGTCTCAAAAGAATTTATTTTTATTCTGCCTCAGGCTGAGAGGTTCAGCTCAGGCTCTAGTTCAAATATGAGACTTATTCAAGCTGAACTATAATCACCAGAAATAATAAAAAGATGAACAAGTCTCAAACTATACAATAAATACCATGAACTGGTAAGGATTTCAGTGAAAACTCCTTTAAAATGTATCTCCATTCACTTGATACTGCTAGTTTGTTTTTTTTTTTAAGTAATCTTAATGTGGGTGTTCCAACCATAAGGTTCATTCACTCAAGTAATAATTCTAAGACAAACACATTAAAAAGGTAATGCATCATTAACTTCTAAACTGGTTTGTTTATTAATACATTTGTTTTCAACATTCTTTGAGACTAGTTTGGTTTCTTTACAAATGATAATACTGTTTGGCTTACAGAGTAGTTTGTTCTTGGATCAATAAAATAAAAATATCCCCAATCGATCTGTATATAGAGACAAATGCTATAGTGTAATTCCTATTTTAACCAATAATTCACATGAAAAAACTAGAGTGAATCTCACAGAAGACAATCCCCAATAGAGTCAGTTGAAAACTCAGGACAAGTAAAAGGTTAGAAAGGGTATCAGCTCCATGGAATGATTGACATTTCAACAGTGTTCTATTTCCTAGGGTTTGCAATTCCCACCAACAGTGTACTTCCACCAGCTCTCACAAAGGGGGGTTCCAGCTGTTTCACCAGCTGCTCTTTTAGCCTGAGCCAAAAAAGAACCACCAGTAAACTCATGGAATGCATCCAACCTCTCCGGTAACCCTTTTTAAAGCAGGGGCACCCCCAACACAGTATCACAGAAATCTATAAGCCTCTTAACTGCAAAAACTGAGGTAAAATAAACATTAGTTTCTTCATTTATAATTTGTGAAAGCCATTTTTCTAGAATTAATTTAGTTACTCCGTTTTGAAAAATAAAATTCCTCTAAAATGTGTACTCTTCAAACAATTTTCCCCCAAAGCTTTCTGAAATCTGGAAGTAAATGACGTAAACAAAGCAAACTTCCCTTCTGGGAAGAAAATATTCCTGTCAAGGTAAAGAAGAAGAAGGTTTATTTTCCTTACAAATATGACAAAGCAATTTCTTCAATGTTCTTCCTCAGAACAATCAAATAATATTCTCCACCTTGTACTTCTGCCAGAATAGTCTGTTACTTTATACAGTTTCAAGCAGGCCTCTAGGGCCACTGTTTTTGATCTGTATCTTAAAAATCCTTTTCCTGGTAATTAATAAAGTCCAGTTAGGATTTATTATTTCATGTCATCAAGATAGTTAGAATGCACCTTTCTTAAAAAGACTCTAGTGAATATCGAACTATAATAACAAACATTAAAACTGCTATAGAGTTTTAAATCTAGAAATTTAGTCAACTTACATACAGTTTTACAACTTTCTACATCAGTAACCAGCTTTGAAAATACCACACGCAGTATTTCAATGACAGAAAAATCTCATCCTGTAAATCTTTTAAGACAGCATTATACTCTTTTATACCTAACAGAGGATTCTTCTGGTCTACTACCTTTCTTACTTTTTCCTTCTTTAAATAACAACAGATGATTTGATTATTCTTTTTCATCATATTTTGTGCGAGAGAATACTAACGCGTTAGAGGTCCGAACAAAACCACATCCAGCGCCTTGAGCTGAAGTTTTTGTCTATGACTCCGGTCGCTGATTTTCAACTGAGAGATCATAAATGAAAATTCATGCACTGCTATCCTGTTCATTTAAAAAATACATATATATTAAAAATCTTACTAGGACGTACATTTAAATATTTCAGCAACATACTTAATACTTACATATATTAGTGATGATAACTTTAAAAGTTCACCCAAGTGCAATTCAATACTTTATTATATGCAACAAAAACCTTCTCAGTGCAAGCTTAGCAGTGCAAATACTTCTGTATGTCAATAATTTCATTGCTATATTGATGTTTTTGTTTTGTAAGGTTTCTTTATGCTATAATGTGATTCAGAAATTTATCAAATTAAAAATATTTTATAATTATTAAATTACCTCTGGCATTTTACCATCATTTCATAAACAACAAGAAAACTGTAAGCAACTTACTTATTAACACAGCAGATTTATCATTCTCAATTTAGATCATATTCATTTTCCTTATAAATATCATTTTAAAAACCTGTACCTTTACATTCTAATATGTAAACTATTTAAAAATTAAAGTTCACTGAAGTCATAAATGAAAAGTAAAAAGTCATCACTGGTTGGGGGAATAAATTGAGGAATATTTGTAATAAGAAGTACAGAACCATTTCACTAGCAATAAAGAAAGTCTGCAGGGTGCCAAAAGGCTCAGGTGAAATAAGGAAATAAAACTGCTTTGTTTTGGACTTCCAATCCAAGTAGGCCAGTAGTTAAGATTTCTTATCAACCAAGTGGGATACAAAGATGAATCTTATGACACAAAGTGTAATAATAATAATAAAACTGTTAATAACAATGACAATTAAAAAAATAAGCATGTATTATGTGCTGAGTACTGTGCCAAGAACTTTTCAAACTCAAAAAATTCTATAATATATGTAAAATTGCCATTTTATAAATGAGGAAACTAAGGCAGTTGTAACTTGCCCAAGATGACATAATTAGTAAGAAGTAAGGCAGGAATTCAATCCCAATTATCTATGATTCCAATGACTGAACTCTGAACCTTTTTTTAGGAAGATTTCAGGTTATAGAACTCCTATGAGGTTTCCACAAAACTTTAGAGAGTAAAGAACTCTAACTTTCCCTATAGAAAATGCCTGCATTCATCATCTATGTGGGTAACCTTTTGTGTGTAAGCCCTTGTCACATCTTTAATATGACACTTATTAAAGTGCCTAAAAGCAAACTGTATCTTATCTCTTTATCCCCAACCTAGCATGGTGCTTGGCAAAAGTAGATGCTTGATAAATGTTTATGTAATAGATGAATGAATGCATGGATGGGTGCAAGAATGAGTAGCAATACTAACAGTATACAAAATTTAAGAGAGACAATGAGATGTAGTAAAAATGAAACTATAAAACAGAATTTTATGCAAAGTTCAATATGAGTCCAGAGGTGGACGGGATTCTACCTGAGTGGGTGAGGATGTCAGGGAAGTTCACACAGGTCTGAAAGGAATGAGGAGGCATGTGTCAGGTGAAGAGAGCCTTAGTATAAGCTCTGGTAACAGAATTACAGAATATAGAAAATACAGTAAAAGGCTTAAGATAACCATGACATGAAAACTAACATAGTTTTACCTACCTACTACAGATGTAAAGTCACAGAAAGGAAACAAAATAATGAATTACTGTAGGTATGTGTACATCTGGAATGTGTAATACATTTTCTTACACATTCTTACAAATAGCTCTTATACCTACAGTTACACTACAAAAAGCTTTGTGACTTAGGTAAGTAATTGCTACTGCCCCTTTGAATGGACTCATCTAATTTCTATCACCATATAAAAGGGGCTTGATGAAGACTATGCCAGTTTTTCTTTACCCTCCATTAAAAAATGCACCAGTAGGCTGACCTAAAAGTTGAACTTCTACATTCATAAGTTTTCTTCTGTAGTAACATGTTCACTATTTTGAAAAACTTTTCTTGATTAAGTATGATGTTATCTCAACAATTCTACCAGAATTTGAGGTTATCTCTGATAACCTGCAGGCTTCCCAGGTGGTTCAGTGATAAAGAACCTGCTTGCAATGCAGGAGATGCAGGTTTGATCCCTGGATCTGGAAGGTCCCCTGGAGGAGGAAATGGCAACCCACTCCAGTATTCTTACCTGGGAAAGCCCATGGACAGAGGAGCCTGGTAGGTTACAGGCCATGGGGTCACAAAAGAGTTTGACATGACTTAGTGACTAAATAACTGAAAACATTGACTTCACTAAAAGAAAAAAGTGGCCATAACATTTACAGTCAAAATACTGAGCAGCCTGTTTATTTCATGTTGTTATTATATAAAGAAACTTTCCAAAGGACAACATAAGAAAAGTTGTGTAAGTCACAGGGTTAACATAAAAAACTTAAAAAACCCTAACCTCACCTTAATGGTCTACTTATCCTGTTTTAACTTAGAAACTTGTCTTATTTAAAAGAACTCAATTTTAATTTTTTTCTTCTTTCCAGCATCTAGTTGCACCATGAACATAAGAAATACTTAATATGTACTTACTGATTTGACTCTTAACCCCATTAATTTCATCATTATAGTTATGTGCACAATAAAATCAGAAATACTGATGCTCAGAAAACATTTAAGGAGATATGAAAACTTTCAACTTGATCCAAAATACAAACTTCTAAGCAAAAAATGCTGTGTACTTAAATAAGATATGTGCAGGCAAATTGATTAGAAATATGCATATAATAATAGACAGCATTATTAAAGCCTTTTTTGATACAGAAACAATCTAAGTTTGAATGGAACACGAGCAATCTTGTAAGGGTCAAATTTCAGCGAAATTTCAGCAAATTTTAACATTTAAACCTTCAGTGATTATTAGGTTAGCTAACGGAATTTTTAAATATAATTTAGAAAAGTAGTGACAATTAATTCCAGACATCTAAGGGATAAACTAGCATTTATACTTTGGTATCATATCTATCCAGGTCCAAATACTACCTTGGGCAAAGTATTTAAATTCTTTCTGACTTGGTTTCTTCAATCTATAAAATGGGAATAATAGTACACACTTAATTTTAACGTGAAGCTTAAATGAGATAATACAAAGCATCTCTGTGTAATATACATTCAAAAATAATTACTATCATTTATCTTTTATTTATGAAACTTTTTTTAAGATTTAACAGTGTCACTAATATTAAGTGGTTATTGCTGTTATTAAAAGAACAATTAAGAGGCATCTGTACATTAATCTGTTCAAATAGGTTTTCTCATATCAAATGAATAAGTTTTGTTACTTTCACCACAGGGTCAGAGGTTGGTCCTTTGATGTTATCTAAAAAAGATATAGTTGACCCATCTTCTAATTCTCAAGATTACTTTCCCTAGGAATAATTTTTTTTAAAGACCTGATTATTCAAGCAAGAAAAAACTGATTAAAACTTACAAATTCATACAAGTATCAAAGAATGGATATATTTATAATATTTTCTTTGAGTCCTTAGCCACAGAGGTAACTTAATTGAGAAGTGACCTGTACTCTCCACAAGTAGAGGAAAAAAACACGCGTGGGTCATAAGGACCCACCTGGGGAGCGTTGTTCCTCTGACATTGTTCTCTCTGAAGCTCTTCTCGTACTGGGGCAGCTCGACAAACTCTATCAGCCACTGAAGCGTGTCCTCAAGGGTCCAATTATGAACTGCAAAAGATAGAAAGCAAAGGAATACTTTAAACACGTGTGCTTTCAAAACTTATAAAAATTATATGTATGTATACACATACACATATAACACTGCTGTAACTTCAGAGGAAATAACGATGTTGGATTGAATTTTCAATTCAATCACTAGTAAGTACTAAAATAATGTTTGGCATTGTATGAGAAGCTCAAAACAATGGAGACATACCTCCTACCCTTAAGGGTTTACAATCTAGAACAGAGACGACACATAAAGGAAGAGAGAACAAAACATTAGCATGTTTAATTCTAAAATAAGCATCTGTGCAAATCTGAACAGGATGAAATAATCTACTATTTCCCCGGCTGTAAAAAAAACTTACCAGATATATATTTATTCATTCCTCCTTTCATTTAACCATCCATCCACATAACATTATAAACCTTCTCAGTATCAGATTCCATTCTAGGCAGTGGGAATATAGCAGTAAAGAAGATGGATAAATGCCTTGCCTTCATAAAACAAATTCTTCTGGGAGTGGGGAGGGGCAATTAATAAAAGGAGGAAGAAAAGAGGCAGTTGCAGATAATGATCAGCTATTACAAAAGAAATGAAAGATGTCAGGGTAAGTTTCTCTGAGGAGCTGTTATCCGATTTAAGACCCAAAAATTGCAAGGAGCCAACACTGTGATGATCTTGCAGAAGAAACAATCCAAACAGACTTAAAAGCTGGTGTAAAAACCTTACGGAATGAACCCGCTGTGTATGAGGGACAGAAAGTAGTCAGAAGGGCCAGGTCAAAAAAGATTTTCAAGAATTCTGGATATCTTTCAATAAGAAGAAGGAGAAGTAAATAATCTATGCTTTTAAAATAGCACTCTCCACTGTGGAGAATGAATTGTGGGAGACAAGACGGAAAACAAAGAAAAATAAGACCAGTCCTTATCCAAGCAAAAGGAGTTATTGCCTTGGACCAAGGTTCTAGTGGAGGATATAGTGACAAGTGGCCAGATTCAGACATATTCTGGGGAAAATGCTTTTAGATGTTCTGATGAAATGGACGGAAGCTGGTAGGCAGAAGCAAGCCTAAAGAAGCACAGACAGTGCTTCCACTAATTAAGATAGAAAGAGCGAGGAGGACTAGACTTGGGAGGCGAGTAGGGGCAGGTGATAGAGATCGAAAGTTCTATTTTTAGACATTATAACATGTCTAAACATTTGAAGTATGTATCAGATATTTAAGCGCAGATAGACAAGAGCAGTCAGATATACAACTCTTGAGCTTAGGGAAAAGTGAGGTTAGGAATAGAGACATAAATTAGGAGTCATGGGCATACGGATGGTCTTTAGACTGAATGAGATCACCCAAAAGAGCTGAAGATAGCTATTACTGGGTTCCAGGAGACTAGCTCCAAATCATGACGAAAAGGACAACTAACATCTCTTCTCCTAGACACTTACTTTGAATTAAGCCCTTTATATGCAATTTTCCCTTTAAGCCTTAAAAAGAAAGAAACAAACAAAAACTTACGAGGCACTAACATGATTATCTCCATTTTGGAGAGGAGAAACTGAGAAGTTAATGGGACCAAGACAGTCAGTAGCAGAACTGGATCTCAACCCAGGCCAACGGACCTCAGGACCTGATTCTATGCTACTGTGAGAGGTATAATATCAAGTAACAGTAGTGATATACACAAGCAGTTAAATACTGAAAGCAGCTAAAGACATTTCTACTTCAAGAAGAACAAAGACAAGTTTATCCAAAGGAAAGGATGTGCATGTGCTGGAAAAAAGAAGAGCTCCATATTCATCTTCATATATAATTTGAAGATGTGGGAAAACAAAATGCTTACAGATCACAGAAAAGGCCGAAGGAGAAGGAAGGAAACAAGTAAGCAATAAAAGCAGATCTGGGAATCCATCTGTGATAAACCTGAGATGAGATCTTCCTGGGTATGAATTTACTTTTGTAAGCAAAGCTGGATGTTCACAATCTGCCTTTTTCATTAAGTGTTCTTTAGAAGAAAAGTTTAAATAAATCAGAAACAAAACATTAACAAAAATTAACTTTTAGATAAAATACATTTGATAATTTTATACTGAGACAGAGCTTTGACAATTTTTTAAAAATAATCTCTCCTTGTGTTCCTGCCGTTAAGACTGGGCATGTGCCTGAGGCTGCTGTATCCATTTAGCCAAATAATTTAGAATAAATATCAGCCAAAGGTTCAGGCCCTGAGTGCTTTCTACCAAATTTAATACATGCAACATAGCTTTTTTTTTAAAGTGTCTTCCTATTCAAGACAAACTGCACTGAGAACTGCCTGGTCTGAGACTCTGCCAAGAAACCGCCAGCACAGCTGCACCTCACACACCCACACGAAAACTTCAGCCAAGATAACAGGATGAGATGCTGTCAAATCCATGGCTGTTCATCTGATCAACAGCAAAAGCCTAAACACTCCAGTGCATCAAAATATTCTCTCAATTATCAATGAAGCAAGACAGAAAAGGAGAAAAATCAAATGAAGAAGAAGACATGTTTAAAGTACCCAAATTCTAGTATTATCCCATCTAAGAAGTAGAGAATTGCACTGGTACTAAAGTAATTTTCTTTACAATGAATCTGTAAAACTACAAAATTCTAACACAGAGCACACAGTTTGCTTTGGTGTGCGGGGTGGGGAGTTCATTTTGTTGTCTTCTTTTTCTCGTGCTATTTGGTTTCTTTGGGAATGCCTGGTAAGTACCTTCTGAGGACCTGTACTGTATATTAGCTTTCTCTGCTCCAAATTCAGTAACTGTCTTTCGATTCTTAGGGCAGAGAATACTATGCCCTTCCTTGGGGTCTTTGCACACATGGTGTTTCCTCTTTCCTTCTCTTCACCCCTCTGACTCACCTTTATCTATTTACTTTATTGAGCCTTCATACTGCAGTTAAAACTTTAATTCCTTGGGGAACCTTCTCACACACTGCTATATGGTCATATATTACACTGTACTTTTAGGCATAGCATTTAACATAGCATGTATGATTATTTGTTTCTATGATTATTGTTTCAACATCTGTTTATGCCTCTAAAGCGTAAGTTTCTTGCTCATTCTTCTATCCCTAGCACTTGGTACACAAAAGGTGCTCGACAAATTACCTACTGGATTCTCTCGAATAAATGAAGCAGCATGTGTTTGTAACTGACAACTACTGTGAAAATCTATTTTCACATTTTAGAAAGGAGATTCAAACAGAAAGAGGAACTATTCTGTGTAAGAAATTTTTGTTGGCAAAAGAGTTATTAAGAATTATCTGGAAATCAACTACACTTCAATTTTTAAAAAGTAAATTTTAAAAAATTATCCAGTGTATCATCCAAGTCTCTCTGCCTCTTTCACATGCGCTGTTGCTAAACAGCAGTTCCACCAGAGGGCAGACAGAGAAGGATAATGTATTTCTTTAAAAATATAGATTTAAAAAAAAAATCTATCTGCAAAGCTATGGAAACGTCAGTTTCTACACTGTTAAATTCTATTGTTTCTGTTAGAAACTGCGACCAGTGCTACAGGTTGTCGTCTTTGAGTGATCTGGGACAATTTATTCCAATATCAACAGAAAGAACTCTGGAATTAAAACAGACCTGATTCCAGTCCCAGAAACTCAATTTCTCAGCACAAAAAATAATGAAACTGAGCTAGACCATCTTTAAAATTCATTCAAAGTCTTTGTTTTTGATTTCATTATAATGAACAAAAGATGATGTTTAAAATACTGCTAAACTGTTAACCTAGAACAGTAGGTTATAGAATAATGAGGGGGAAAAGTAACTCTAAGAACTTTCAGGACAGCAACAAAACTGTTCCTAACACGTACTAAGTGTTTATTAAACACTGGGAGATTTGCAAAGCTTATTTCCAAAAACCACTGCAACAACTCTTTGAAGTAGGTACTTTCATCATCATACTAAACCTGTTAGTTTATGAAGGTGAAGTTCTTAATTAGCTAAAAGAGATTACTAAATGCTCAAACCAGGTTTCAGAACAAGTCCATGTCTAGAATTGTTTACCACTGTACAGTAAACGTTACCTCTTTAGAATTAGGTAAATGGCCCTCATAACCAAATTAGGCACTTCAAGTAGACAGTTTATGCTCCACATTTGCAACCACATATGTAGCTTTCTAAATCTGCCATATTCCCACATGTCATTCCTTCAATCTGGAATGGCATGCCTGTCTTCTTCCTTCTTTGTCAGGCTGTTCTTCCTGAGCCTTTGAGACCCAGATCAGGAACTCATTCCTCCATGAAGTTTTCCCTGTCTGTCCATTTCTGGATTACAGTTGCTCTTCCTCACGCCCCTGATCACCTGTGCATGTATCTGCCATAGGATTTACGCACGTGCTCTAATGAAACTGTCCGTGCTTGTGCTACCCTCTGGCTGATGCGTTCCTCAAGGGCAGGAACTTGTTCTGCCTAACACAGTGATTATTAACACCATAATGCCACGTTCCTTTGATTAGGATTTTACATATTAACATACACTATATTTAACATCTCCCAACCACATCTGTGAGACAGTTGTTTCTCCACAGTCTATACACAGAACCTTGGCCAAGAGAAGCCATGTAACTGCAATGTAGTCACACAGCTAGAATTTGAACTCTAATCTTCTGACCCCAAGCTCACTGCCAATATAGGTGGCTCCTGATTTAAAAGAAGTGCTCACTATTTAACTTAAAAACTCAAAACACATTTTCTCTTAGAAACAAAGCTTCCGGACATATAGCATTAATAGTAACTCAAGAGTTAAACATTACACATGGGCAATCTGCCATGGGTAATTGTGTTAATGGAGTCAGGATTCCACTAGAGACGTCAAGTAAGCACCATGGCCTACTGAAGGCCCGGCAACAGTAACACAATAGCCCAATGGAGCTGTGCCAGTTCATCATGGCACAGCTTCTAGGACTTGAAAAGGGGGCTCTACCAGCCTGAAGGGTAAGATTTCAAAGAGATTTCAGGAGATT